CAGAGAGATAGCAGACGGATCCTACGGGGCAAGAGGGAGACTGTGTAACAGTATGGCAGACTGATCAACATTCTCAGCACAAGGATGAGTGGAAGTGGGTGATGAGTAGCGTGGAGTATAAAGAATTCTAATGAAAGCAGCTCAAAAGGGCACACCATACCACATTTAAATAAGCAAGTAAAAAATTATGATTGGTGATTAGCCCAGGGCGGAAGGAGATATCACGATTGTTTAGCAGAAAATTGACAAAGGGTCAACTTCACTTGTCTCTTTGATAAGTTGTAGTGTGGTGCCAAGACTGGCAAGACTCACTGACGATGCCGGCGAAACGTCTGGGAATGTATCAAGTCCACGGTCAGACTCTAGAAATTATTATGCATACAATGGACTCTGGACTAGGTGCGCTCCTCTAAATCTTCCTACAAATATGAACAAGTTGCGAAAACAAAGTCAAGCAACTTCAATGCAATTTTTAATTCAAAGCTTAAAGAATTCTCGATTCACGACCAGAAAACATAGATTAAAAGCCTATCACGATAGCTATCTAGCGTTTTTCGTTATTGACTACGTTTTTACGACTACTACACAACTCATTTATCTATATATTCTTCCATAAAGACTAAGTGAAAGAAGAAGATTAGCTTGAGAATAAGATAAATTATTTTCTCTTTAAGACTAATAGCGAAGATGTGAAGATGAATAAGTATTATACTGCCTTTGAAGGCAGCATATCTAATCTGAACGAGGTCTAGTATTAAAGCTTCTGATAAAATGATGATATAAGAGAAGAATGATAGTTTGAAGTAAAGAATAACAAAAATAAACTTATTATTTAATTTAAAGCAAATAATCAGCAGGAAACAAATATATGGTTCGTATTCAGATTTTTTAAGGAGACCAAATAAAATATTCTCTGAAATGAAGATAAGTTGTGAACTTTAGGCTTGCTCAAATCACACTCAATCAGATAATCCTAAATAAAATGTTAAAGGTCCACTTCTAAGTCAGTTTAGTTTTATAACCTGGAACGGGTTAGCATCGATAGTCCATGAAATAATTTGCAATAAATATGCGGCAAGCTATGATGCATCCTAGAGCGTAGGCTCAGGATACAATATCTTATTGAAGAAGTAAATGAATTGTTGATACCTTGGCAGGTAGATGGGATCTAGAATTTTTCAAGAGTTTCATATAGCCCTCGTAAAAATCAATGAGAAATGTTTTAAAAACCATACTCGATAAGTAGAACAAATCTTGTGTCAGCCTTGCATATCCTGGCCCAGGATATGCCAAAGCTAGCGGTCTTAAAACAAACTTTAATGCCAAGATGAAAAATTAATTGCATAGTATTCGCATCTTAAAAAGCAGAACTTACCTTTCATTTAAGCTGATGTCAGTTGTCGATCTCAGAAAAAGCGGAAACCTCTTTCTCCCCTGGAAAACAGAAATCAAAGCTTGTCTAATTGAGCTTAAGAGAATAGATAAGAACGTAAAGCCGAATAAAAAAGTATATTTACACAATAATATACATATATGCTGGATTTCAAATAAGAGTGCTATCAAATGAAGAGAGATATTCATCTATTGCAGTAGTCGGCTCGTTTGGCTCATTCGTCGTGTCCATGGCCAAGCCACTGTCAGTGGCTTGTTCAGTAGCCTGTGCATCTTTTGAGGATTTTTTTGAACATTGAAGTTTTTCATCGCTATCTTGCTGATCGTCTTCGACAATTGGTCTCTTTGAACCAACTGCATGAATTAAGCCATTCTCTCCTGACGATGGAATCAAAGCGTGTGATTCATCAACGATTGGAGGAATCAACGCTGCTACGGTGTCCGAAGGGGACGATTCTTTTAAACTTTTGAGAAAAGTGAAGTCTCTTTGACTATCGTAATTAATAGCTTGGATGCACTGAAAGGCCACATCACGAACATAAGGATCAGGATGAAGG